CAAGCCTGGGCTCTGGCTGGGCCATAGCATGTAAAAATGGCCAAATGCTGTATATTACATTTGTAGTAGGTAGGGTATTTCATTCAAGTAATTTCACTGGTATGTCAAGAATAGATTTTACTGTCAATCACCCACTTTTCAAAAAAGGCAGAACAGGGCATGGGGAAAAAAGTGGGAAAAGTCGTTCCCTCAATCCTGACTAATGTCCCAGTTCCTGCCGTTGAAAAACATCCCCACATCATGATGCTGCCACCACCATTCTTCACTGTAGGGGTGGTATTGGCCAGGTGGTGAGCGGTGCCTGGTTTCCTCCAGACATGATGCTTGGCATTCAGACCATAGAGTTCAATCTTTGTTTCATCAGACCAGAAAGTTTTGTTTCTCATGGTCTGAGAGTCCTTCAGGTGCCTTTTGGCAAACTCCAGGCGGGCTGCCATGTGCCTGTTACTGAGGAGTGGTTTCTGTCTGGCCACTCTACCATACAGGCCTGATTGGTGGAGTGCTGCAGAGATGGTTGTTCTTCTGGAAGGTTCTCCTCTCTCCACAGAGAAATGCTGGAGCTCCTTCAGAGTGACCATTGGGTTCTTGGTCACCTCCCTGACTAAGGCCCTTCTCTCTCGATCGCTGTTTGGCCAGGTGGCCCACTCTAGGAAGAGTCCTGGTGGTTCCAAACTTCTTTCATTTATGGATGATGGAGGCCACTCTGCTCACTGGGACCTTCAATTCTGCAGAAGTGTTTCTGTACCCTTCCCCAGATCTGTGCCTTGATACAATCCTGTCTCGGAGAAGTTGTAGAAACATCTCAGGATGATCAGTGGAAACAGGATGCACCAGAGCTCAAATTTAAGTGTCATGGCACAGGCTGTGAATACTTATGTATATGTGATTATTTTTTTTTATGTTAAGTACATTTGCAAAGATTTCAAATGAACTTTTTTCACTTTGTCATTATGGGGTATTGTTTGTAGAATTTTGAGGACAATAATTAATTGAATCCATTTTGGAATAAGGCTGTAACATAACAAAATGTGGAAAAAGTTAAGCGTTGTGAATACTTTATGGATGCACTGTATGACCCAGATGTTTATGAATAAATTATCATTTTCTCAGTAAGAACAAACCTGGAAAGTATCATATGAAATGTACATGCATATTGAATGAAAAACATACATATGTACTGAATTTTAAATGTCATAATTAAACTCAGTACTACAACTTTTCCAAACAAATACTTAAAATAGTATAAATTATATTGACTTTTATTTATTACAGATTATTTTAGAAATATTCACATTTGTTTTTACTACTGTAAAACCAGATTTTTTTCTGAACTGTTTTATTGTATTCCTGCATTACTCCCACCCCCGATTTACTCTAACTTTCTATGTCCTATTGACAAAAGCCGGTGTGTCTAATGTCTCCCTGTGCTTCCAGACGATACTTACCTGTTCTCCGAGGTTTCCCTGCTAAGTACATCTACGATCCATGGAATGCTCCAGAGTCAGTGCAGGCGGCCGCCAAGTGCATAATTGGCGTCCATTACCCAAAGCCCATGGTGCACCACGCAGAGGCAAGCCGGCTTAACATTGAGAGGATGAAGCAGATCTACCAGCAACTTAGCCGATACAGGGGACTGGGTAAGAGAACAATAAATGAACAGGACTAAAGACTGTGAAGCCATGCTAGCTTTCCTTTTAGGCTATAATGTTCATTACACACCAAAAATAAAAGTATGGAATGAATGAAAAATTTAAAATACTTGGCTGTTTCTATTACCTTACTACCAACTGCATATGTAACATTGGCGTGGTCACGGTCACATGCAAACATTAAACAGTACTGGATGTTCACAGAGACACAGTGCTTAAGCATGTGTCTCAAACATGTCAGCATGGACACAAACAGTAAAAATGCAGGAAGCTGTTCAATACAAATGGGCTCCCCCTGTTCAGCTATGTGATGTCAGCATGATGATTTTTGGCAATAATCTGCAAGTTAGTATGCATATTACTAAGCACAGTTAACATGGCGGCCTGAAAATGAAACATGGATCACATTATCTTGTTACCTTGCAGGCATGCTTGCTGACCTATTAATTTATGGTAGCTTGCTCACATGCCACCAGTAGGTATGACATTTAGCTAGCTCATAAACTAATATGCAGACCTTTAGCATGTTATATAAAATATGGTATCATGTTACCATAGTAGAATACTAATATTTGGTGTGGATGTAAGCAACTGCATGTATTATATGTCAGCATACATATATAGCATATTAGCAGTGTAGCAGAAATGACTACACTTAGATAAAGGAATGTTAATATGTAATATTCAACTTCCTTGTTAGATTAGGGCACCAGATGGATATAGTCCATAAGACTATTAAAAAATTATTTAGAATAATTAAATCAGTCTAGATCTGAAAGAAATGAATCCTAGCAGTCCAGAGAACCACTTACTGGAAACAAGAGACACCAAAGATGACATAATGAATCCAGGTATAAGCTAAATACATTTATTTACAATATGTACACAGGGAAATTGATCAGGATGAGAAACACAATGCCAATGGTACATTTGTGAATGCTCTGATGAATGAATGAAGGAGTAATTACACCATCTGTGGTTAGCGGTGGTGGAAGCTTAAAGATTGAGTTAGATTCTAGATCTAAATCCAGGGATCTTATCACAAATATGGAGAGGGAAAACAACTTAACTTAACTGAAACAAAGGGAGTGGTTATTAACTAGCATCGGTGTGTCAGTCAGAGCAGTCCATTGACCCAGTATTCTAACTGGCTGAAGTTCTTGTGGCTATGACAGTGATTTCTGATTGGTTCTTCAGGCACAGCAGAGAAAAGTTTATATAATCTAAAAGTTTGAATCAGAAAAACATTCTAATATTAAAATTCTTCCACCATGGCTGGAATACATAATCTTAAGCAACAAATGCTAAAAGTCAGTTTATGGCACTGTTCACATTCTGTGTGAGCGTAAGGAGGTTCCCTTCATATTTCTGGGTTTTGTTGCATTGGAGACTGATCAGATAAGAGGGAACCAGAGGTGCCGGACTGGTTTGAGTTAAGTGGAACTTTATTGTCTCAGGTCAGAGGTGAAAGAGGGGTTTGGGGCCACTAGATACAGGACCTGGGAAAGTGCAGGGAGCAATCTGCATGTGGCAGTCTTCAGGCTGCTCTCAATGCTTAGAATCAAAGTCTAATGTAAATATTAATATTATGAGTCCCTCAGAATAAAACATCACTTCCAAAATGTCTACTTTGTACTTGTGGACACTACAGCAATACAGCTGGGGCAGTCAGGAATTTGGCCATTGTTTTAGAATCCATACTTTATTTAGTTTTAGTGTCCTTTGGTGAAGAAAGGTATTAAACCAGTATTAAACCATGAAAGGTCATCAGCTATCTGTCCCTGTTAAATGGCAAATTAAGACTGTTACAGACTTATGCCCCATTTGTACTCTGAGGAATTAAAATTTGTCTCCAAAACAAACTGTCTGTCCTCTCAAGACGGAAAAACAAATGTGTGTATCTGTGTTTGTCAGGCCTGCTGGCATCAGTGCCATCCACCAATGGGAATGGGAATGGAGGAATGATGGCCTACTCTCCTGGAGAGCAGCAACCAGGGACCAACAACAACAACTCACATTGTAAGTCAGTTTTGTAGCTGAAAATAGGAATGTGAAGATGTTGCTCAAAAATTCTTTCTGATGGTTGGTGTGGTCATAGAGATGGTGTGGCTAATCCACTTGAGGATTTTTTTCTCAGTGCCTGGCGTTTCAGCAGGTTCTGTTGCAACAGGTAATGGCAGCGGGAGCATCCTGCTCAACTTTGACAGTGAGGGGCATACAGGACCTAGCAGTGTTGGGCAACAGCAACAACGAATGCAGCCACTGCCACAGCAACAACAGCATGGTAGGTCATCACCTGACATAGGTGTTTCATGTTAGCATTCTAAGCATTTTACATTTAATCTGTGTTTGGTGCTGCTAGTTGTACCCACTAATAGCAGCACTGTTGGCTATTCCGGCTACACCCTCAGCCACTGTACCTATAATAATTAGAGATGGGCCTGATCCAATCCAATACCAGTATCTGGTCCAATATTGACGACATTCGCTCATCAGATATTGGACAGACAAGGCCGATCCATTTACTGATCTGTAATCCAGTCCACAGCTTGCTCTGGACCATCAACCCACTGTAGCCTGGTATAACGTAACATAGTGTGAGACACATCACTGATCCTGATTCCATTCCATGTCTCACCATAAACCTACAGCAACTTCAGTCTGTAGCAGATTGAGTAAATAACATCAACTGTTTGTTTCAAGATATTTTAGTCTGGCAATGCTGAAAAGCAAGATACAGTCTTATGCAAAAGTTTAGGCACCCCTTGATAAATAACAGATTTTGGTGATTTTTTATTTGAACAGATGTTAACACAGTTTCTCTTGGAAATGGAAAAAATGCACAATATTTTCAGCAAACAGTGATGCATAGTTACTTCTTATGCCATAAATTGAACAAAAATAAAAAATAAAAACATTATTATGGCAAAACATCCCAAGGAGCACTGTGCAAGTGATAATATTGAAATGGAAGGAGTATCAGACCACTGCAAATCTACCAAGACCTGGCCGTCCCTCTAAACTTTCAGCTCATACAAGGAGAAGACTGATCAGAGATGCAGCCAAGAGGCCCATGATCACTCTGGATGAACTGCAGAGATCTACAGCTGAGGTGGGAGACTCTGTCCATAGGACAACAATCAGTCGTATACTGCACAAATCTGGCCTTTATGGAAGAGTGGCAAGAAGAAAGCCATTTCTTAAAGATATCCATAAAAAGTGTCGTTTAAAGTTTGCCACAAGCCACCTGGGAGACGCACCAAACATGTGGAAGAAGGTGCTCTGGTCAGATGAAACCAAAATCGAACTTTTTGGCAACAATGCAAAACGTTATGTTTGGCGTAAAAGCAACACAGCTCATCACCTTGAACACACCATCCCCACTGTCAAACATGGTGGTGGCAGCATCATGTTTTGGGCCTGCTTTTCTTCAGCAGGGACAGGGAAGATGGTTAAAATTGATGGGAAGATGGATGGAGCCAAATACAGGACCATTCTGGAAGGAAACCTGATGGAGTCTGCAAAAGACCTGAGACTGGGATGGAGATTTGTCTTCCAACAAGACAATGATCCAAAACATAAAGCAAAATCTACAATGGAATGGTTCACAAATAAACATATCCAGGTGTTAGAATGGCCAAGTCAAAGTCCAGACCTGAATCCAATCGAGAATCTGTGGAAAGAACTGACAACTGCTGTTCACAAACGCTCTCCATCCAACCTCACTGAGCTCGAGCTGTTTTGCAAGGAGGCATGGGCAAAAATTTCAGTCTCTCGATGTGCAAAACTGATAGAGACATACCCCAAGTGACTTACAGCTGTAATCGCAGCAAAAGGTGGCGCTACAACGTATTAACTTAAGGGGGTTGAATAATTTTGCACGCCCAATTTTTCAGTTTTTTTATTTGTTAAAAAAGTTTGAAATATCCAATAAATTTCGTTCCACTTCATGATTGTGTCCCACTTGTTGTTGATTCTTCACAAAAAATTACAGTTTTATATCTTTATGTTTGAAGCCTGAAATGTGGCAAAAGGTCGCAAAGTTCAAGGGGGCCGAATACTTTCGCAAGGCACTGTATCCACAAAATATATCCATCCGCAGTCTTTTACAGTGGCACCAGTGGATGTCTTTTTTTTTTATACGTTTTATTGAGAATATACATAACAAACAAGGCAAAATAACATTTTGCCAGTATGGTGGGGGCACAGGTGGATGTCAGGCAGGCTCACATGAACGCGCAACTGCATGGAGATTATGACCGTTCAAGGAAATCCGTAAATTATCACATAATACTTGATTTTGTATTGCGAGTGAGTTTGCAAGACTTGTATTAACAGATTTTCTTCTGCATAGAAATACTAGAACATAGGTACACCTCATTTTTTTGAGCTTTCGGTCTTGTCTAAGATGATAATTCACCATTGTAACATTGTAAATAAGTCAGAAAACAAGGAAAAGAATGTCATGAGCGCTTTAATCTAGTGGTCTAGGGCATAATGCATTACTGCACCTTCTAGAGGTAATTAGCAGGATGTTGTCATAGCTGTAAAATGCATATTATATGCATCTTTGTGTTATTGTTCAAAAACAATTGAAAACACATCAGTATAATACATACACTGGCACATACACTGCACTAGGTGACATGTCCTTTCATTACGAAACACAAGACCTGCAAAAATGTTAAACATTGCTAAAATGTTGCCCCAAAAGCTTCAGACAACCATAAACATGTAGCCAGACTCGTATGCATATTCACGAGAGGGGAGCTAGCTGATGACATTTTTTGGGTAAAATTGGATTTTAAGAGTATGATAACTATTGAGCTCATCCACAGATCACAGAGTGTCTGTTTGATGTGTTTTGATGTGTCTTTTGCAGGATACCACACAGTGCCAGACGCCAACCAGCCCATCACCAGCAGCCGACTCTACCATGAGTTTGCTGTTCCTCAGCACCCAGGTAGGAAATAGGCAAGATCTGAAGTTACTCCTTCTTGTGGCACTGGATTCTCAAGTCTAGAATTTACACTATCCTCCCAGTATTAAGCTTAAGCATGTTTTTCATTATTTAATACTAAAATGACCTTCATGCCTGAGTTGCTGTTCAAACATACATTTGTTTTTTATTGACAATAAATGTTACAGTATAATTTCTAAAATAAAATTCCAGATTGAGAAATCAAGACATTCCTCTCTGTGTCAGAATGGATTGGATAGGATAGACTTTATTGTCCCAATGGAAAATTTGCCCTTGGACTCACAGTATCAAACATGCAGCAAGCACATTTGCACTACAATAAATAATAATAAATAATAGTACATATAATACATCCATAAATTCTATAAGCATAAAAATACACGCATTAAATACCACAATAAATAAAAGTTGCACACATACACAACCATACTGCGCTAAATAGCAAAGCAGTAGAAACATGATGTATATGCATTCCATATAGAGGAGTTTTTAAACTGGTTATTCCTACTCAGGGGGATCCTGTACCTTCTGCTTGATTGAAGAAGTTGGATCTGAAATGATCTTTTGTGCCTGTCTGATTATGCTTTGTTGAAAAACATCTTGTTGCTGGCCTCACATAATCTTCATGGCAGTTTGTATAAGTTCATGAATTTGGTTTCATGTTATCAGATCAATCAGAGATCCCACAGAGCAGGAGGCTATCTACTAGAGCTGGCTAGAATAGGAGCTGCATGTCCTTGGTTACACCAAAACATTCTGAGCCTTCTTAGAAAGTGTAGCCTCTGCTGTACCTTGGTACAGATAACATCTATGTATGCCTTCCACTGTAGATTGGTATTTATGTGGATGCCTAGGTACTTGTAGGAGTCTACCTGCACTATGGTTTGATCACTGATGACCACTGGTGAATAATCACCTAGAGCCTTGGGGTCAACCACCATCTCCTCTGTTTTGTTTTGTTTTGTTAGGAGGGGGTGATGGTTGTCACACCACTGTACAAAGTTGTAAACATCAGACTTATACCTCTGAACATCGAAGTCAGTTTGCATGAGTCCTAGAATAGCAGCATCATCAGAGAACTTAAAAATATATATATTTTCATTGTGGCTAATACATTTGTTTGTGTAAAGAGTGAACAGAAGAGGTGAGCTCACGCATCCCTGAGGCACTCCAGCTTAGACAATGATTCTGTTCACTCTGCCTTGTTGGTTGTGATTAGTCAGAAATGAATGATACCACCTGAGGAATGGGGTTAACGCTGAGCTGGTTTACTGTGTTTAATGTGTGGCTGCAGTGGGTTAAAAGCAGAACAAAAATAAACAAATTGTAGTCTGGCATAGGCCTCCATCTCCAGATGTTTAGTGACCACATGCACTAAGCTACTGATTACATGCTTAGTACCTTTATGTTGTCTGCATGCAAATTGTTATGAGTCTAGGCCTGCCTCAAATCTCACCCAGTTCACCCATACATTTCATCACAACTGGGGTCAAAGTCAAAGTGGCAGGTCTAAAATCATTACATTCTTTAGGCCTGTCCTAAAGAATGTAATGATTTTGTGTTGCCCAGGATCGTAGATGATAATGGTGGTTTGTTTCAATATCAAGATCAAAGATTTTTATTGTCAATTCACTATATGTGCAGGACATACATAAAAATCTAAATACTGTTTCTCTCTCACCTAGTATTGAATGCCATACCATTTAAGAAACTGACTTCCATTAAAATAGATGTACCTTCAAAAAATTCCCAAATATAATGTCTTCTTGTGAAGAGGTATTTCATTTTCTAAACAGCCATGCTAATGTTGGTGACAAAATGGTTACAGTATATTTCCTATGACCACTTCACAATAATATCGAGTTGGTGTTTTGAAAAGGAATGCTTTTAATGTAAAAGAGCAGCAAGAGGAAATCTTCCATTAAACATCAGCAGCTAATGCTCCAGCATTAAGCTCCAACTTTTAAACTGGAGTTTTTTATGTCGGTTCACGCCGACTTATTTTTCTGACCCAGTGTGTTTTAAAATAACCTTAAGAGGCACTCATTGTGAAGGATGTACTTGAGTCTTGGCAGTCAGGACAACAGGGAATTATCCACCTTGGATTTATGTGGATGTTTTTGCACAGAGGGAGAAGAGTAAAAATCATCTGGTTAAAGGTAAGACAGGTCTGACTGTGAGGTCATGTTTATGGTTGATTCAGTGTTTATAAACCAGCTGCATGTTACCATTAGCCCAAGTGTTGGTAGTTGTCATGATTAATGTTAAGTGTGAGATGTAGCACAGCAGCAGCTGTGGATGGATGGAGCTGGCGTTGTTGAGTCCGAGTTTTTTCCCACAAGAAAAAATGGACTAAGTTTAATATTGGTCCTTTCTGTCAACTTTGGACATTGCTGTCAAATATGTGACAGTGATATTTTACTGTAACACAGGAATTGCTTTTTCAGTGCAGTGGAATGGAGCCTTCTCAGTGTGGTGGGGTCTTCAAGCTTTAGTTTGTGTTGGAGGAGGGGTCTGTAAACAGTTCTCCTAATATCTGTTACACGTCGTCCCCCCCCCACACCCACAAACACTAAATGAGCAAGATGCCAATTAATGTGCCACCCTAAAGTGAGTACTGGCCCAGCCTGGCCACCCCTGTGAAAACAGTCAGGAAGTTCCATGAGGATTCCAGTGTACACAGTAAACATCCAAAAGCACTTTATTCTTGACTCCTTCTTGCTGTCCTACACATATCAGTGCACATGTACATCAGACCCATTCAGAAAAATAGAAACTCTTAAAACAATCACTAAAAACACCACACAGCACTCATGCAAGACAATCACCGGTGTCCTTGTCACCGCAGAGCAGTGCCACCTGACAAGTCAGACCTCACAGATGGAAAGCATTAAGAAGGCGACTCTGTTCCTCCCCACTGCCATGATCAAGTTCGTCCTAGCAGAGTGAGATCACAGAGTACTCATCCTCACTACTCATGTTTACAGTTACTTTGCTTATAGTCTTTCTTCATATCTTTCATTCAGGACTCCTCCTGCACACCAGAGGCAACATCTCAGGAAAGCGGGAGCGTGAGTCGGAACGTGAAGGGGTCAGGGAGGAAGACCTGGCGTCCTGCTCTGTGCACAAGATACAGAGGCAGACCGAAGAGGTCAGCTTTTTCCTATTTAGTGTCCAGTGTCCTGGGAATCTCTGTAGAGGCTAAGAGGCGGGATACATCCTGAACAGGTCGCCAGTCTATCACAGATCTTAGGTTTCAAAATTCTTAATTATTTTTCTGGAATAGCTGTGCAGCCATATTTCTGTCTGTGCCCCAAAGTATTTTCATTTAAGAACACCAATGGCTCTAAAACTAAATGTATGTATAGAGTACTGTCCTTGTTTTACTAATTCATTCCATCAATGGCCACTGAGGGATTCATAATATCTTGCTTTAGTTGAACCTATGCTACTTTCTTACAGTATTTCTAAGAAGTCTGGGTGTCTTACATGGTTTATTTAGTTAATTTTTGGACAAGAAAAATTTTGTTGCCTTTTTGGATCCTTTCCGGTGTTTGTGCAGCTGTATGATCATTTTCTGCCACTGAAGTGTACTCCGGCTTCCTCCCACAGTCCAAAGATATGCAGCTTAGGTTGACAGGTGACTCTAAATTGCCCGTAGGAGTGAGTGTGGTTGTTTGTCTACATGTCAGCCCTGTGATAGAATGGCAATCTGTCCAGGGTGGACCCCGCCTCTCGCCTAATGTCAGTTGGGAATGCCCCCCATATTCCTCTTCAAGATAAGCAGTATAGATGATGGATGGACTTTAGTGCTTGTTGTAATTGTGTCTGTTTTATTCATCCTTTATTTCCAAAATTATATACAAAATTATACTATAGGCATCATAGACATTTCAAAGTGAAATAAGAAAAAATATATACTATTGCTAGATGATCACAAAGTGTAAATTGATCTCAAATATTGTAATATAGAAATATTAGTGTTATAATCTACAAAAGATTAAGTGTTGGTATGAAAATCTGTATTTTTTATGTAACTGGGTTTCCTGCATTATAAATACATGTGTGGGATTTGTAACAATTCAAACAGCTGGAACACCAGTTGTGGATAGACCGCCTTCCTTCACACACACATATGCATTAAGAGGCACGGCATTGCCATCCCAACATGGTGGCTGCGTTAACACTTTGACGTGATGGACAGCGGCAGCTCATGCAGCATCTGTATGTGTCTATACGTAAATCTCTATACAGCATGTCCTGTAACTCCCAAAATAGTAAAAGTTTATGGTTATCCTTCACACATCCATTCACAAGTCCATCACACAACGCATGGGCATGACTTACTCTGTTATATCTCTACTCCCACTACAGGGTCAATATTTTCATCACACTCTGCTGGCAGCAGAGGGCTGTCATATACAGTATGTAAATGTTAGCCTCTCATGAAGTTGTCATACTCAATAAAAAATACAAAACAGATGTTTGAATTCAGGACATAGTCACTATGCAAAACTGAGTTAGTAATCGAAACTGTGAAAGGAGGCGTGCAGGAAAAGAGGAGTCACACCTCTGTGAATGCTTCTGTTACATTTCCTTTTCAGTTCCTTGGACTGAAAACACAAGCAAAACTTAAGCAAGGTGTGCAATGATTACTTCATAAATAATTCTCTGTTTTTGCGTAATTCTCCTAGACCGCCTAGAGGATGCACAGATGAGAGCGTCTCAATTCACAAGAGAGTCACCATCTGGCCAGCAGAGAGAGGAAATCCCGACATTGCTACCTGTCCTCCAAACACACACACAGCCTCCTCTTCCAACACAGTCGGTTTACTTCAGCTCTCTCTTTACAGTCACAAATTTTGGAGTTTTGGCTTGACACAATCTGTTTAATAGAAGGGCTTCTACAACATGGAGTCCACTGACCTCTGACCTGTCATACAGACAGGGGACATGACCTCAGAAACAAAATGCCTCAGACTTACAGTTCAGTATATATATATATAAAAAAAAAAACAGTGTTACAGTATTAAAACAGCTGCCACCAGCCAGTATATACGGTGTGAGCACTGAAGCAGCTGTAAGTGTAACCACTGGAATACTCAACTTTTTTTTTTTAAGCTGCAAATACAGCTCCATCAAACAGCTTGTCTGCCCTTGTATACACCAGTATAAAAACAACCTAATCGTGTCTAGGTTTACTGCAGCTTTGTAGTATGTACATCCTAGCTGTGCTGCATCCCATAGTGTTAACCAGGAACCACCGTCACCGCCACGCAAGCTAGCCAGACAGTCTCACTCCAGCAGCATGTTTCATCATAGATATACTAAGTCTTTACATCAGAAAAACACAGTTTATACCAGTGCTGTATGTTTGTGTGTCTTGTGTTGTCAAGATGGAACGCTTGTACATAGGCTTATTAGATTTTTAACAAAACTGTTTTCTGCAGAAGATGAAACATGTGGACATCTAAAACCGAAGGATGACTTTTACCTTATTTTAAACTGGTATATGTCTGATAATGACTGTGATGTCAACCCTGACTTCACCAGGCTAAATACTACACATGCACACTTGGTATTCACAGTAACAACCAGGTAGGTTGTTTCAGGGACTTTCTTGCTTCAGTCTACATAATGTAGTTTGCATGTAAATATACACACAGTCTTACAGGCACTGGAGATCCAGTTATTGAGTTGACTTCATGGGAACATCTGCCACTGCCCGCTTAGCATATGGCATCATTTGATTTGTACTGGCAGCTAAAAACAGTGATTCGTATCGTTTTTCAGACAGTATTTAGGACACAGAGTCAGTGCATCTCAAAGTATATATGGTTAACACACTGCCAGCCTGCTTTCAGTTGTTTTGAAAACGTGTTTACAGTGTGTTGCTATAGATTAGTCTGGCTGGAAAACTGCCTTCAGAATGTGGCATTGTGGGTCTAAGAGCTTGTGTGTAGTTGTACAGCAGTTGTAGGTCTCTGGGGCATGATGTTTGTGAGCCCATCAGAGCTGGATGTGTAGCAGAATGCATGTCCATGTTTTGTTACAAGTGTCAAAGTAGTGTGTTGCAGTTTCTTTTCAGGTTTGTGGTTTCTTTGGAAACCACTTTAGATCCTGAACCTTTGATACAAGTAGAATACATTTTTCATGATTCCTATTAAGACCAGTCAAACAAGCAGGCTGTGTTCTGTATGTTTATGGAGAATTATAGGTTTTGTCCTGACATCTTCATCTTTAATCCTTAGTTTCAAGTGATATTTTGTCATGCTGGCATGTACAGATCTTCTCTGTGGTTTCACACCTACATCAAAGTAACAGTGATTTGTTGTAGAATGGAAATGTTTCAGTACTCTGCTCACAGCTGTTTACCATCAGAACCTGGATGATCCGTCTGTAATATTTTCAATTTGATTTCACCATTGAAAAGTTAGTCACATTTTCACTTCTCTGTTCCCCCTAACAAATCTTTATGTCCTAACAATGTTTCAGACGCTTGTAGTTTCAAGACAAATCACTATGGAATATCTGTGAGACATTTTATGGTGTTGCTGTGAAACACGTTCAACACGTTCAACCAACCACATTGCTGCTAATATGTGAGAGGGTTTTAGACCTCATTGATGTCAAATCACGAGGACAAAGAGGTAGCTGGTCGCAATCTCCTTTTTCAGATTTCTTATAAAAACCAAAAAGTTGCCTGACAAAAAGGAAGGATAAAAAATGAGTCGAAAGTAAAACGGAGACGACTGTGTCTGGTCTAATTGAGCCTAATTCTGTCAGGAAAACAGAAACCAACATTCCTCACAAACAAGTCTATCCCCCTGATGGACTTCTTCTACTGTACAAGAAGTTCAACAACATACTGTATATATTTGTATATATGGCCACTTGTGACGTTGTGTGACTCAGATATATTTAGAATTGCAATCTAACTAAACCTGGACAAGTAATGGTGCTGCAAAATACTGTAGCCACCGCAAAAACCACTTTAATTTGATCCACTGATTGATCATAAACAAATGAGAAGGGACACAAAATGGCCACTGTAAAGTTGTGTATAGGCACACTGTGTAAAAGTGCTGGATAAGTGAAGCTGGTGTCTTATTTAGGTTCTGTCCACCCTCCACTATCACCATTACTCCCGGTGAGAGCAGTGCAGTTGAACTGAACCAGAGAATGTATGATCACCTCTGTAAAATACACCCAGCAGCTCCTCTTGCTGATGTTAATGTGCGTGCACATACACGCAACACTGACAGTGTAACAACTCATTCATACACACAAATAAATGTTATAAAGATTTATACACTATAAATCCTCAGATAATAAATGAGTCCTAGTAAATCCTGGAAAAACTCAATGACTGAACCAGAAACCTGCACCAGTTTATTGATTCACTTGTGTTTACATTATATTAAGCTTCTGTCAGTGAAACTCAACGCTCCTTGTGGATGTTTGGCAATATAACCTCTACTTGGGAAGCCTGTTCCCTGACAAGCTCGAGCCCTCTTAAGGTGAAACAGATAGAGGAAATGTTGAACAGCAGACAACTGGAACAGTAAATAACAAGACACATTGGAGTACATCACAGAACAGTGAGGCCACTTCTTAAAAATAAACATAAAACAGGGAATTGGGGGAAAATGTTTCTTATAAAGGCATGGTATATTTGAGAATTTATGGTGCTTGCATACACACACATTTATCAAAAATGATCTAGTACAAGCCTTTTATACATACACACCCTTTCACATGCTTAAAACATGCAACTCTTGAAACACATATTACACACATATATTCAAACACAGCACTGTCACAACTTGCTGCTCAAATGCAGACAATGCATACTTCAGTCTCTCTCTCTTACACACACACACACACAAAACCTTCGCAAAGGTTACAGGAGAGTTTCGTCAGATCTGTTTAAAGCCCCGTTGTCAAGCAGTATAACTGCACACTTGAGGAAAAAATTATATTTTTTTGCAGATTAATTAATGAATTGATAATTGTTTTTTTTTTTAATAACATATTTTGTGTTTGTGTTTTAAATCATCACATGCTATTATTTCTGTCTGGTTGAATACGCATTCAGAACTGCAGATTCTCTGGATCCTCTATGCCCAAAATAGAATTAGGTGCCTATTATGGTTTCTGATGTGAAATCACCAAAGCATTCATAAAGTCCAACTCCAGAACTCTGGACAATGAAGTGCAAAATTTGGGCTCCCCGGTGATGGCTAAACCGCCACTGCATGCACAACACACACCAAAGAGAAATCATGTGTGCCCTTTGTAGGAGTCAGCTAAACAGTTCATATTGCTGGCATGAATTGATATGGTGTACATTAGAAAACCCCTGCAGGCTGGGACTGTAGCTGAGAAAGTTCTGGTTTCAGTGGAGCTGTGATGACTCGTGTCTGTGTACAGTACTCAATATTTGTTCATCTGTGATTGCACTGCCCTCGGCTTCAGGACTAATGTAGAGGGTGGGGAGGGAGGGGGAGATAACAAGTATTGTAGTGTTTCTGTATTATAGTCATGTAAGTTCCGAAGAGAAAATGAACATTGCTAGTTTTGTAGCTTTTATCACTATCGCAAAACATGTTGAACCAAGTTTTTATTCTTGCTTTATTTGATCTGTTTTTTGTTTGTTTTCTTTCATTTGTTTTCCCTTCTGTGACATGAAGGTGAACACGGATGCCATGTAGCATCTCTGTAATATCAATGCTCTCTGTCTGCTTGTGTTGTCAAAAGGCTTTTCTTGTGCTTGATAAGTTCATGACAGGAAATTAAATTTGTTACAACTTGACATGGTTTCATTTTGCCTTCTTCATTAGCACCAGCACAGTTACTTGACCCTGGATACTGGATTTGAATGCCACTACCGATCTCAGTTTGTCAGTGAATGTTAGTTTTGACATAAAAAAGTTTGGATAATTTTTTTTACACAATCTCATAACACTAGACTAATCTTAATTTTGATTTATCTGTGCATTGTGGTCCTTTCTGAATTTCTCTTTTCTTGTCCATGTAGACACCATGACATTTCAAATCAAATTTTATTTGTATAGCACCAAATCACAACAAAAGTCATCTCAGGACACTTTACAGAGTAAGGTCTAGACCTTATTGTTATCACTATTATTACAGAGGAAAACCCAACAGATCCCTCTTGAGCAGCACTTGGCAACAGCGGGGAGGAAAAACTCTCTTTGACGGAAGAAACCTCCGACAGACCCCGGCTCTTGGTGGGCGGCCTTCTGCCTCGACCGGTTGGGGTGAGTGGATAGAGGAGAGAGAAAAGAAAAGAGAAGCCAAAAACAATCAAACATTGGTCAGGTTGATGTGGCCGGTGACTGCTCTTCAGAGACTCTAGTAGAGCTCCAGACCCAGGAATACTTGTAGAAAGGTACAGGGAGAGAGAGAGGACACACTACGGGAGAGAGGAGACACAAAGTGAGTGATGTGTAGTGGTGGTATATAGATGCATAGAGAGAGGAGAGGAGAGAAATTCAGCGCATCATGGGGCTGTTTGAGATACAGTAAATCAAAATAATTCTGTTTACCAAGATTTGGGGAAGCAAACACTTGTCATGTCTGGGATGAAGTGAAATTACACCTGAACTAATGCAAAGCAACCTTGGCTACTGTAATTAAACTCTTCTGAGGTTTTTAAATGTATATACAACTATTTCATATTTTTTAGTTTATTGAAGTCTTAGTATCCAGTGAAACCAGCATTTATATCATCAGATATTATTTTCAGTGGAATTACCATGATCCATTGACACAGGTGAAGTAAATCTGCATTGATTTTTTTTAAAGAAAAATATTCACCACAGTTCAATGAACTTGAGTTTATACATTTGGACCATTTGCTGACAGCAAACTTTATTGATAAAGCTGATCTCTGAGGAAACAGAGCTGGAAAGTCCAAAAAGGAGAAAGCTATAGTTTACTTAGTGTTGCACCATCCAGTTTTATATCATCCTGCACCATGAAAGAGGCATGTTTTACAGCTTTTGACAAAATGTCAATAGTTAAGTTTCTATCTAAATGTCCCACAAATTTTTTAACTCCCAGTACCCCATAGAGACTGTGTCTTCCCCTGACCACCCAAATTATATAAATCAAAAATCAACTCGAGGAGTTATTGTTAGATCTGCTCGGACACAGAGGTGAGCGAGTCACAAAATGACGGACCCAGGTGGCTGACTTCAGTGCAAGCAGTGCTCAGTTTATTTACAGTGATATCAACAAGGAAGTGAATAACCAGGTGGAAGTGAGACCGGGTGTCGAGCCGCAGAAGGTGAATAACAGTCAGTGGTGGAATGATGAGGGAAAGGCCGGGCTGCAGACGCTGGGACTTACTCCTGGGCTGGTCGTGGTGGAAGGTTGCTGAGGAGACAGAGTTAGTACATGCAGTTAATGGGAGACTGTGCATCGACCTGCGTGGTGGAGATGGTGCGGGGTTGAGGAGGTCCGTGGTCCGGAGAAGCGACAGAGGCAAGGAGGCTGAGACAATGGGGCACAAGACTGGAACGGAGCTAGGGCGACAAAACGTGAGTACAATATAA